CCCACACCCCTCTAGTGTTTGGTGCAAGGGGATCGAACGCCTTTATTGCGCTAAGGCTTAAATTGGTGTTAAGGGACCTGAAGATTTGTATGCATCTTAAGTGCTTGGTGGTAATTATGCAACTGCAGCAGAAGATTGTTGTGGCAGTGCCTGGGAGCTTGATAAAGGTTGATCACTACCGGTACATCTTTCTTTTCTTTTTTTTGGTATACGGATAGGACAATTTTTAACAGTTAAATTATACGCCTACAAGATCTACGGTGTACTAGTGTACTTCTTTGAGGTTGTGTTACGCCTTTCCACAGTCAATTTCAACCCAATATGTTTTGTAATCAACTTGCATTTTCTCTTGCTATGGGGTATCTACATGTGACTGCCCTTTCATTTTATGTAATTCGGTGCTTCCAACAGCTGAAGATAAAGGTGAGGAAAATTCTGCCGGGGTCCCACCCCAGCAGGGTCCAGGGACAGCGTCCCGGTGGGGGTTCAGTGTGTGAAGGCCCCGAAGATATTGAAATGTAATGCTTTTAGAGTTTTTTAATATGGTATTTGGGAGCCTGTTTGAAGAGAATACCAACTACCCATAACGCCTATTTTTTTTCATCAAGATTATTGCTGAAACTCAAAGTAGAGTACCGGGGTAATAACTTGAATAGCTCAAGTAGACATATCAGTGCGAGAGCTGTAAGAACTGAGGGAGAGCCGGAAACGAACTCTTCATTATACTGAAGTTACAAATGGCTTCAAAATACTTCAGGGGTCAAACTGCTGTACTGTTTGCTGCAGATCAGAAAGCCAGGACCACTCAGGATACACATCAACAACAACAGTCTCAGACAGGTCCAAGAATTTAAATATCTCGGAAGTATATTCACAGAGAATGGACGACTGAACAGGGAAATTGAAACACGAGTACAAAAGGCCAATAATGTTAGTTACCAGCTTACTCCACTACTGAAACATCCTAACATCCCCATGACAACAAAACTCAAAATGGTCAACACCATATTCATCCCAACACATACCAATGCCAAATTTAGAGCAAAGAATTACATGTGAAATGCGATGCCACAGAAAAGCACTAAACAAGACCAGGCGAGACAATTTAGAAACACAGTAAATCAGAGAAATGGTGGGCACAAATGATGTTACGCATCACATCCAACACCAAAGAATCAAATAGTTTGGACATCTCATGCGATTAAACCAACACAACCCAGCACAACGTGCCTACATAAAAAAATTCGATGGCAACAAGGGTAGAGGGCGACCGAGAAAGACCTGGATAGGTGGAGTAAGGGAAACATTAACCACCCATGGCATCCCCTTGACCCAAGCTCTCCGGCTGGCGACAGAGAGACGTCTCTTTATTCCCGCGACACCCAAAAGGGTAAGCGGCGGATAAAAGTAGGCCTAAAAGTAAAGTGCTGTAACCCCCCACTGTTATACCTGGTGCGCATTAATACACATGTAAACATGCTTTGTCCGCCAAAGTTCAATACGACCAAAATAATTTTTTAATACAAAAAAGGAAGAAAAATATTAGATCTGGCTAAGCTAATGTGGTAGGGTTCACTTAGCTTCTATTATCCTCTCTACTAGATATCTAGGCCTACTGATAACATCTTTTTCACAGATAAAGCGAAAAATCTATGCGTTTATTTTGACTGCAAACTCTCCATGCACTATCATATAAACCATCTATTCTATGTAAGGCAATTTATCTAGAACTACGAAGAATAGGACAAATGTCAACATATCTTAGTGTTGATTCCATCAAAACCCTCATCTCTTCTTTTGTTCAAGTCTTTCACGTCTAGACTACTGCAATTCTTTGTTTGGAAACCTTCCCACTGAAACGTTAAATAGATTACAGCGACTCCAGAACCAAGCTGCTCGCATAATTTTTTTTTAATCTCTCAAAGAGCATATATATATC